GTATAGGCTATTCTTAAAGTTTCTGTATAAATCACAGCGCTTTTTGTTTTAATAGATATGTTAGTGTCATAGTGTGGGAATCTAATAACTCTGAAGTTAAAATCATCTGTTTTGTTATACAGACTTGTGATCACAGTATTTTCTACTATATTAATACTAAGGTCTAAATAATTAGCGCAAGTATTAGATATATGTGTTTTATTATATTCTAATTTATTTTTATACACCACTTGCAAAATTTTTTCTATATTTATTTCTTTCTGATTATGTATTATAAGGATATCGTCCATATATCTGTAAGGGACGAATAGTTTTTGTTTGTTAAGTTTAGTATTGATGGCATATTCGTGTTCCATGTAAGCTAGTGTAAGATCAGCTAACAAAGGGCTAAAATTTCCACCTTGTGGAACACCTTTGACCTGTTTGAATATATTACCACCAAATACACAATAACTATTACATAAAAGGAGTTCTACCATATGAATTAATTCAACTACATTGTAATTTCTGAAATTGGACTTAAGGTTATCCCCACTAGTATAAAAAACATGATACCCATTGGTTGCTATAAATGGTTTACCAGAATTTTTAAAACAAATATTAAGTATGCTTTTAATATTTTTAATGATAAGATTATGTTCGAGATTTGTGAACATGTCTGTAAAATCTGCTGTAAAAACTTTTATACCGTTATGGATAATGTTAGTGAGTTCATGACTTATATTAAGATGGCCCAGTGAGTTTTTATAGTTCCTTTTGTTTTTTGAATAACTTCACCATATTTTCTGAAATGTTCCTTTATATACTTGAATATTATTTGCAATTCCATAGCTATAGGCTTTAAGTTACTGTTATGTGCTCCTGTAATAAATCTGAATTTAACAGGGTTTTTGTGCATTTTAGGTATGGCATAAATAACGGGTAAACTGGCTTCTTCATTATATTTTAGTTTAGCTCTTGAACAGATGTTAGTATGTCTATGAATAATGTCTTTAATAGACTCGGTAGTGACATATTCATAAGTATTATTAGTTTGCACATGACCGAAGGACTTACTGTTTTTGTTATATGTGATACCCATTTCTTTCATAAGCGTTAAAATGTATAATTTTTTACAAATGATTCAATAGTTATTGCCTGCTTTGTCTAGTGGACAGAAGATAAAACTTTTTGATATCGCGATATAGGTTTAAATGCAAATTTATCATCATTCTCAATTGCGAGGTTTGTAAGTATTGGTTTTACTATTTTACGATAGCAAGTACAGAAATATTCGGTGATATTATCTATTTGTTCTTTTTTAATACCATATTTTTTGATGTAGTATGATATAACCTTTTGGATAATATTACCATAAATCTCTCTAACTTCGTTTCTTGTTATACCAAGATCCATTCTGTATTTAGTACCTTTTTTGAGTATTTTTCTTAAATTGTTCTCTTTGATTAAATTAAGATCACCTGTGAAGCCATGACAGGAGTTTATCCCTAATTAATCGTTCCATCACTTTACCTTGAGTAGGTGTAATACTTATGGGGCGAATTTCTGAGAGTAAATGACTCCTAGGAGTTTTTGGAATAGCAGTAACAATAGCTTCCTTCCACAAATCAGGAACCTCACCCAGAAGCATAGATATGTTTAAGATATGAGATAGAGGATGACAAAGCGAAGTGGCGCATCTTTCTTATAGAATCTGAGGAATACCGTCGTAAACTTCGAAGGTGGAAGTTGTGAGACTCTACAGAATCCTGAAAGCTTCGTGGGAATCAACGGAAACTTCGGAGAGGCGTTTCGGAATCTCACAAAAGCCGCACGATAATATTCATCACTGGTGCTATCAACTGCAAACACACTTGCGAAGTACTCTTCCGAAGCATCAGCTCTTCCCTTGTCAGAGGTGAAAGAAGAACCTGCAGAGTTGGATAATGTCGGGATATATGGCCGAAGCTTGGCATTTTGTCTGATGTAGTGGAAGAGCTCTTTCGTCATGGTTTCGGAAAGCAGACGTCTTTCCTGGTTAGCTGTGAATTTTTTAATTTGGTAATCAAGGTCCAAGCGCATCCTTCCATTGTATGAGACAGTTAAAGATGTCGCTTCTGATCGAGTAAGTTCAATACGTAACGTGGATAATTTGGCCATGATGGGCGAGGAAACAGAACACGTCATGGCACTGTAAATCTGAGAAAAATGCTCCTGTAGACATCGCTCACAGAGATGGATTTATCAAAAACAGTCAGCCAGTCTATACGTCGTACATACAAAAGCGCTCAAAAATCTTTGGTGAAATGGTTCTTCAGTCGTACTTTTCAGTCGTAACTCCTTTCCTACACGACCTAATCATGCGATATTCCTATATTTGGAGCGTGGGTGTATTGTGAATATTTACCACCATTAACCTGCAATTTGATCATGTTCCAGACATTCTAAACAGCATGAACATAAAGTCGACTGAAAATGCAGATAATGGTCCTCCTAGAATCTCTTTCCTTTTTGTCATGTCGAAAGTGTACGAGTGGTTATGCCGAACACAATAGATGAGAAAAACGCACATAAGATGCGAATAAGTGCCGACGTCAACAACTTTAGTTGTAGCAAAATCTGCTACCGCAACAAACACCCTCCTCTATCTATGGATATTGAAGCTTCGCAGTCAAATAGTGTTGGGTAGGGTGAAATATGCTCTAGTTAAACACCTTCAAATTTCGCGCGATTTGGTCTACTAAGAAGAAAGCTATGAACGAAAAAGCGCCAAAGCATTTTACCGTAGACTTTTGAGCGCTACTGTAGATTCAGAGAAGAACATTCAATGCAACGGCATTATGGTAAGAACTCCGAATGGAGATAGAATTGAGATGTAGCGGTTACAATTGGCGAAGTAGAAAGGATAAGTGCTCCCGCGAGTGGGATGAGAGACTAGCTGTGTAAAACCCCAATTCTCAAAGAAGTTCAGGGATAATGCTGAAGATGAGTTCAAAGCCTTTTTTTTTCTTCCCGGTCGATTCTGGGATTGAGATCTCCTATTGTCATCGTTATTATTAATAGTAAGTGATTACCATATCAAAAAATTTACATTCAACCAGGAGAGACGTCTGCTTTCCAAAACCAGTGCGAAAGAGCCCTTCCACTACATCAGACAAAGAGCCAGGCTTCTGTCATATACTCCGACATTGTCCGACTCTGCAGGGTCTTCTTTCACCTCTGACAAGGAAAAAGCTGACGCTTTGGGAGAGTGCTTTGCAAGTGCGCTAGCAGTTGATAGCAGCAGTGATGGAGTACCATCGTATTGGCAAATGGTGGGTTCAGCTGTAGTGTAGAGGTCTGAAAAGAAAGAAGAATGAATTTTTGGGCAACTTTCTCCGTTTTCCTGAGCCTACGCAAGGCTTGAGAAAGCATACACTGGCAAGAAGTGCTACTTCTCTGTATGATTTATTAAAATATAAGTTTCATTGAGTATTCTTACTCATCGGCGTTTCTCTGCGTGGAATGGGGCCATTTGATAGAACTTGGCGATATGCCATAAGAAAAGAGAAGAAGTGAATGCGAATCAGTGATGGGAAGGTATTTTCCATATGATTCCATCATAATTGCGTTGTTTATTGGAAATATTCGGAAAATTACACGTTATATGGATTGTTCTACCTTGTAGATCCGTAATTGGGGGAAAACTGTAAAAGTTCGGAGATTGCGCCATATCCTTGCATTTTCCCTGGTTCGAGTTAGTGGTGGTATGGTTTTAATATATTATTTGATGGTTCATATGAGTAAGCGTGATATGTGTCTGGAGTGTGTATTGGGCATTGCGTCATGCAATTGTTAGTGATCATAAACCCGGTCTCTGTTATAGGACGTACCCGGAGGGGAATGTTCCTGTGGATAATCCCCTGTGTACATACTTAGGATAAGTGATTGTTGCTTCACTGTGAGCGTTCTTAGTATGCCATCGTATACAAGAAGGGGTCATCTAGTATAAGGGATATTCGCCATTTACTTTTGTTTCGAGCAGTCTATTCAGTTACTATTCGCATTGTTAGGTCTCTCCTCTGATATTTATTTATACACTCAGTTGAGTGCGCCAATAAAGGGAACTGAGGACAAGTGTACAACTACAGAAGAGTTCAACTAAGATCAAGATAAAACAAGCTGAGCTGAGCCAGCAGTGACAGTCCGCCGAATAGAAGTATTTGTACTAGGGTGGAGGTGGAAAAGGACCTCCCTATGCCTCCCCTTCCCCCATGATTTGCCATTGAAGCTATTTAATAACATTTTCTCAGAAACCACCAATGCGCACGAGCAGTTAAAGCATGAGCTCGACAGTACGACACGTGTGCGCTTTCTCTCTTATCCATGAACCTGTGGAGGAGGACTTTGACGGGAGGACTGATCGGGAGACTGATGGTGAGGGCACTTATTCAGATTACTATGAAGATGGGAAAAGCCATGTGTTTTTTTAAGCAACTGAAATGATTTTAGTGTTGAACAGTTTTTGTCCTGACTTGATGTTTTGTTAATTGAGTATAATACATAATGTTTTTTGTTTTTTGATGTCGATGTTTTTTTAATATTTGCCAAATAAATGTGAAATCTCAGTGGTACAGATTCTCGAGAAAAGTTATGAGACCTTGCCATCTATTTGGTTTTGACTTTTACTTACCTATGCTTAGCTAATATATCATTGGACGCATACCTTTCACCGGAGGGTTTCCACCGCGGCATGTTGCGAAGACTCATAATAAGCACTGAAATGAGAACTCGCCCTCTTTGTCTATATTCTTTATGTTTGCTTTTCAGAATACAAACTGCATCCACTGTCCGCATAAGTTAGCGGAAATCAGTATGCTGCAAGCGCACAGGCAGTTGCTTGTTTTCTAGGGTCAAAAGGTGAGGTGCGCAAACAAGCTGATTGGGAAGAAGAACGCGCAGCGTCGCTAAAAAACGAAATTCAGCGCGCTGCAGGAAGCCATAGAGAAGTTAGAGGAGAAGATTCGCTCTGTATGTGATCTTGGTGACAGTTTATCAGTTTTTTATTTCTGTGTGATCGCTCTTTCTCATTTTCCCATCATTTGTTTTCAGGAACTTGCCAATTGAATATCTGTATTTGGGAGGTCAGGAGCGTATTTTGCGTGGACTAGTACGTCGATACGTGAGCGACTGAATGGCCCGTTGGTGCTCTACCGCACTCCCGGCACCGACTAAATTGGTCCGGCAGAAAGTAATGGAAGAAAATTCCTTGGCCATGAGTAAACAGTGTCCTTCTCAAATAGACTTTATTTGAATTGTTGCGTTCTGGGCTCGAAAACTAATTATATCTTAGTGCAGATAACGTTTTTACTACTGGAGAGTTAGCTACACAGTAATCCGAACTGCAATCGTCACGATGTATGCTCGCGTAGGTACACGATTGACAGTTGGCAGCTGGCGCGAGACCGCCAAGTGCTAATGAACACAACTGCCGGTGGTGGACTACATTGCGTTTCGAGTGATCCGGTACGACTAACTGACATATGTTCTGCTCGGGATTAGAGTGACCAGTGGCCAGATGATCATAAATCTCCAGATGCGGAATCTCCCCACAGGATTAGTGATCTCGGTTGGGTTTCCGATCGGCAAATGGGAGACGCTAGTGAGCTATGAATAGCTAACCGTAAGCAAGGATTCGACATTAGTTCGGATTGGTAAAAGAAGCGCACAATGAATAAAAAAGTTCGCTGGGGTTTTATCCCTAGAGATATTTGGGACGCGCTATGGTACTTCTGAGTTACGCCTGTTTGTGCACCTTTTCTCCCTAGGAGACGAGCAACTCCCTGTGTGCTTGCAGCATACTGATTTCTGCTTGCTGACAGTGGATGCAGTTCGCATCCTGAAAAGCAAACGTAAATTAGATAGACAAAGTGGGCAAGTTCTCATCATTTCAGTGCTTATTATGAGTCTTCGCATCATGCCGAGGTGGAAACTCCGGTGAAAGGTATGCGTCCAATGCTATGTTAGCTAAGCATAGGTAAGTAAAAGTTAAAACCAGATTATGAAAACTCCCACGAATTATCAGCAATTAGATATGGCAAGGTCCCAAAACTTCTCTCGAGAATCTGTACTACTAGGATTTCACATTTATTCGGAAAATATCTAGAAAAAACATCGAAACATTCATATTTTATGTATTATACTCAGTTAACAAAAAATCAAGTTAGAACAAAAACTGTTCAACACTAATGTGGAATCATTTCGGCTGTTTAAAATAACACATGGCTTACCCCACCTTCACCGTAATCGGAATATCCCGTTTCGTCCTCCAATCAAAGTCCTCCTCCTCAGGTCCATAGATAAAAGAGAAAGCGTAAATGTGTCGGACTGTCGAGCTCATGCTTCCTGTGTTTCTGCGCGTCGATAGTTTCTGAAAAAAATATTATGAAAAATTAATCATGGAACATGGAAAATACCTTCCCATCACTAATTCGCATTCACAACTTCTCTTTTCTTGTGGTGTGTCGCTAAGTTCTATCAAATGGCCTCATTCCACGCAGAGAAATACCGGTGAGTAAGAACACTCAATGAAACGTATATTTCCAGATTATCACTCGGAAAGGAGTTATAACAGATACCAGTTGGGCTACGCACGCTAATAAGATAAGAAAATCAAGGAGAAACACTTTTGGCCAGATCTCTATCACGATTTAACAATATACATAAACACATGTCCAGTATGCCAAAAGGTTGAAACACCCTCAACTCACATTGTCCGTGAATAAATGGGAGTTTTCCCGACTTCGTAACGACCGTTCGAGCGAGTACACACAGATACCATTGGATCCCACCGCAATGCATGGATGGAAGTGAGTTTATATCAATATCAGCATGCGCTCTTTGCAAATTCCTGATATGTACACCGCTATCAGAGCAACACCAGAATCAGTAATTAAAGCTTCGACCAATGACGTTATTTCGAAACATGGCATTCCAAAAGAACTCGTCTCTGATTGTGGATCGAACCATACTGGTGCAGTTTTTGCGAAAATCAATAAGACTCTAGGAATCAGTAATAGTTTCATCAACAGTTGTAATCATAAAGCAAAGGGACAAGCTGAGAGACTTGTCAAGGTAGTAACTGACTCTCTAACGGCATATTGCTCCGATGCTCGCAATCC